GGAATGGACTGAGTCTTTCCTTACCTCCCACTCCTGAGCATATCTCATCACAATTCCTCTGCACTGGTTGTTGTACTCTTCAATCCCCATCTTGGCCACGTCCTCTGGCCCTTTAATGCCCAAGGTCTTGTCAATCTCATACTCCTGGAAGCATTGGAAACAAGCAAACACAGCACCCACCCTGTTAGCAAAAGCTTTCAGGATTTCTCTGGATAGTTTATGTTCTATGCATCCTAAGGAAGCTAAAGGGCCTCCTTTATCCTTCTGAGATGTCATGAGTACTGACTGTCCCCTGAACTAAGCAGGGATTTCAAATGCTAACCCTGGCATAACTATTTCTTGACTATCTTTAGAAAAATGAACAAAAACCCATCTCTGAAGTATGTGCCAAAAGAAGCACATGTTTATAACAACGAATCAAGTGCAGGGGAGCAGTAGAAAGCTCCTGAAATCACCACACACAAAAGCCACAGCAACACACTGGGCACAGGAGTTGCATTTCTCTTTCAGCAACAAAGCCAGGGGTAAGATCAACAGAAACATGACTGACAAGCAGCTACTAGCATGGAAAGAAGAACCAACAGAAATATCTATATGCAGTCATCACACATACGACAGGTAAGCCGTGGCAATCCCAGCCAAATCTTCTGTCAACGTGAAAACCACTCTGGTGAGCAAATCTGGTGACAATGTCTTTGATGGTTCCTGCTAGGATATGGCCATAGTGGGGAAGCCCAGTAGCAAACGGAGGGCCATCGTAGAAGTTAAACCTACAACACAAAACAACATTCCTAATTAAAGGAAAAACTGAGCCTCAAGTCTTCACACAGGCTAAGTCTATCTCTCTGCTTATGCTAGGACATCATCAGTTTCTTCCTCTCCCATGACCAGTTAGCACAGGTGTCACACTGGCAGAGGGACTAAAGGGAACACCCTGCAGCTCCCCCCAGCTGCCAGTTCTACCAAGATTCCTCCTGAACACAGCTCCACAGCTGGCTGACATGGGAAAGGGCTGTCTTTGCTTACCTGCAGATCCCTTTCATAAACTCACCAAGCAGGATATCACAGGTTTATTAGTACTGTTTGAACACTGCTGATTGTTCACAGGGTGCAAATAAAAAGGGCAGTGCCAGGGCTGCTCTCTGCACAGGAAGCAGCTGCTGTTTGCAGAGCCAAGGCCAAATAATTCATTACAGCTAAGCAAACCTTGCTTTGTCACACAGTTGCTACAGCTTTTAACAGATTCTTACCTAGGTCTGTTCTTTGATTGCTTTAAGCATTCCTGAAAACAATTAAGGTGTTTCCATAGCTTCAATATCTTCTCTTCCTCATTGGGAAAACTTATGTTTTCTGGAACTTGTTGAACCATTCTTTCCCATCAATAACCAAGGAGAGAAAAGAAAATACATATTGAACAGAAGTGAGAATAATATACTTCACAAATACAACTTTTTATATCACAAATCCATACACCACCAAGTCATAGCTCAGTTTTCCAAAGAGCTTGATCCAGTGCAGACATGGAAGCAAGCACTCCGCTAAAAAAAGCCTAATGATTTTGAGAGACTAGCATCAAAATTTTGTAGCAAGAAAAGGAATCTCCATTCAACTATGGCTATTCATTTTTTATTATGCTTTTATTTCTGTTTCCTATAGAAAACACTCATAGGGCAAATTATACTTTGGTTACAAGTGTGAGGTATTTTCTTCAGGAAAAGCTTCCAAGTTCAAACTGACCCATCAGCACTAGTCTGTGAAGTAGTGAACTAGCCACAACAGGCTACTTCTTGCTGGCCATTTCCTGAAGGTCTTCTCTTATTTCGTGGGTTTTGGCCACCAGAGCCCAAAGCCACTCTTCAATTCTGAGTAAGTCAATGAAGATCACTACCAGCAAAATAATGCACAAGCAACACCAGGAAGAGAATTCTCAACACCATTAGGAACACACAACAGCTGTTTGGCTCCAGACCTGCTACGAGATTCAAAGGAGGCAGATTTCACGAAAATGCCACAGAAAGCACTAAGCAAAAGCTCTGGGAATAAGGATATTTATGACAGGAGAAAACTGGCTATGAACATTGTAATAGATGAGTGCACAGAATAAACACATTCTCCCACATCTAACTTCAGTGCTGCTGCTCCTGAGCACCCACACCAGAAGGAGCTAAGCAGCCTCGAGCTTTGCACAGCATTGTAGAACCACAAATAACGGCAAGAGGAGTGAGTTTTGTGATTCCCTTGGGTTTGTAAATACTAACCACAAGCAGCAACAAATGCAAATGCATGAAGACTACAAGTTACAGCTGATATGCTGCTGAAGTTCCAAAGCATGACGTAAACAAAGCCCAGAACACCACAGAAACTGTCAGCTCAATGCTTGAGCCCCTACGAAGAAATGTGCCCCAAAACGGAACCTGCAGACCAATTCCACCACTCAAAGTTTTTCTGTTGATGAAAGTTCATTCTCTCCACCAATAAGCCCAAATTATCAAATAAGACCAGAAATTCGTTGAGAATCCCACGGTCTCATACTCGGGCAACAAGCTGACAAGGAACACATAGACGTGGCCTGGATACATGGCACCCTTCAGCCTTAGCACAACTAAGTTGCAGTATGCACAACTCATACAAGGGTTTGCATCATTCTGTCTCAAAGCCCTAATTAGGCCATGCCACTTCTCAGTAATTTAATCAAACAGTGGAGATGATAAAAGAATTCAACCTTAAAGCTTATCTCCTACAAGCCAGCTGGCCTAAGGACTGAGCTCAGCCTTCACAACTCCATGGTAACTGCAAAGGTTTGGTGACTTGGCCCAGTCCATGCAATCTAAGCAGTGAAGCAGCTGGAGGTGTGAAATGTTCCTGTGACAGGGCTGTGGAAGCTGCTCACATGTCACAGGCTCCACGCGTAAGTCACAGGATCACTGTCGGCCCACTGCTACCAACTGGAGCACTGCAGGGACAAACCAGTGTCCAGCAACCACAGGGCACAAATTCACACACACTCCTAGCAGTATTAACAGTCTATTGCATCAGAATTGGGAGGGGAAAAAACTACTGAGGGGAATTCATGTGTAAGCATCAGCAGAGGACAATTTTTTTCAGGTTACAAACCAGTATTTCAAACAGACTGACCTGAAAGACAAAACCACATTGAAAATCCATCTATGGCTCAAGCTCAGCTGAGCAAAAGAGCCAAGACTTAACCAGTTTACAGACAGAGGTATGAACATCTCTGTGTGCTCTCAGGAAAATCAAAGCTCATTACTTAAGCAATTTAGGTATTTTAAATCAGAAACAAATATCAAGGACAACTCATTAATTTGAACACAGACTTAGCAAAAACATCACAAATGATGTGACAGAAGTGATTTTACAAATGCATCTAATAAACCAACACTTTTGGACAACACTCCAAATCTACATACAGGTTAGTGTATGTAACCAGGAGGTTTCTCTGCTCCTTGTCTGCTGACAAAAAGTGTTCAAGTGTTAAGAGGCTGTGCCACCAAGGAAGCTTCTTAAGGACACTCACTTTTCTAGAGGGTAGCAACATTCACTAGGAAAGGCGTCAGAGCTTGCAGCTTGTACTAGGGCAGTCTCACAGATATGCTGGGCTTCTTATCTAGGAGAAAAAAATACACAAGCATTAAAACCATGAAAGCAAGTTAGAATGTGCTATTTCAAAGGCTACGATTCACTTTAAAGATCAATCACAAGGAATGGATTTCAGCAATTTCTGGGGCTTAACATACATCATATACATATAGGTCATTTTAAAAAAATGGATTTGAAGATATTACTCATTTTGTTGACTGAGAAACTAAAGACAAAGCAGCAATATGAACTAAAGGTGCACACAAGGGCTCCTGATTTCAAGGGGTTTATGATCAGTCTCTGATTCTTGTTCCAGTTACCTCCCACAAACTATTCCATAAAAAAGACCAAACTTTCCTCTGGAGTTCAGGAGGAGAACCTGCCATCCTGTTCCTGCCTCACTGGGTACTCAGCTTTGAGACAAAACAACTTCTGGGGTAACAACAGCCTAAACTGTTCACCCGATAATCAAAATCCTCCACTTCTAGAACGGAGGGAAACATCCAAGTTCAAAACAACAGGAAGGATGGATGGGAACAGAGTGCTAAGCTACAGAACAAATGTTGCTGCTGAAAATCTTGTGCTAGTGCCTTACACAAGGAATAAAACTGCAACGCTAATCAAAGACCTGAGAATGGGTGAGAAGAAAACAAAACCAGTCATGCACTCTTACCTTTAAAACCACTTTTTTAACTGAATCGTCTTGTTCTACTCTAAGTAGCACTTTACATAAACCACCAAATGGTTGGAAATGCAAGAATAAATTTAGTAAATATTTATATATATCAAACCTGAGCAGTTTTCTTCTCCAAAAGAACATAAAGCTGCCACCCCCATGGCCAATCCAACAGTGCAATGTGTAAGTATAATTACTTCAGGAAAGAATTAAAAACACGTTTTTCTTTACAGCAGTTATAGATTTGATGGTAACAGAAAATTTGTATTTACACCTTATCCACAGCCAACTGATCATGGCCTGATTATTCCACTGCTTTGCTGGCCTGGTCATATAGCTGAGGAGTTAAAAGAAAATAATACCCCAAAGCAAGCAGCTCAGAAAACTAAAGTGGGAAACTAGTGATCATTTATAACTTCTGAACAGGCAGATGAGGTCGATACCTGAGGGCTGGCCAGGGAAAGTGCATTGAGATTAATTCACCTCAACACATCCCTGCAGATCAAACACTGCCTGAGATGGACCACAGCCCATGTGGCCCCCAGCAAGGAGTGAGTTAATGCTGAAAAGCCAATTGAAAGTCTGCTAAAGCAACGAGCAGACTCCTAAATTAACACTGTATTTAGACACATTCATTTCACGCTATGCAAGAACTCAGTTTTACTCTGTATCTTAGAACCTCCACAATGCCCTGATAAAACTGTTAACACTTGCCAGTGTGAAAAGAATACATCTCGGTTAGTTTGAGGCAGCTTTGAATTATGTATGTAAAAAAACCTCAGAAACCAATGTCAGCTGACTCAGCAAACACTGCCCTTATGTGACAACCAAGTTCTGCTGCTACCTGACAGCTGCCACCACCACACTGACCAAAAGCAGCTCTCTTCAGTTCCCTCCGGGGGCGATGGCAAATGCCCCGCAGCGGCAGCAGTGAGGTGTGCCCGCACCAAAAACCCCTCGCAGAGGGATGCTGAAGGCAATGCCTAAGACACGTCACGTATTGTAAGGCACCTTCAGGTCTACGCACAGATAATGAAAGTAAGGCTCGACGGGTATTAAGCTCTGCAATAAGGAACCTGGTTGTCCTTGAATAAGTAAGACCTGCCCTCCACAAACAGCAGTGTGTACAGCACCAGGGAGTCTCACACACACGCCCCGCGCGCACAAACACCGGGCACACGAA